GAGGGGATCATAATTTTGAACCGCGGTTAACCCATTATTTATCATTGCCCCTTTTTTAGGACATTTTTTTATATTTATTTCTATCTAAATGGTGGGAATTTCAGTTTTGATTGTTTTATCTTAATGTTGTACTCACAACTATATTAAAGTAGCAAAATCAAAATAATAGAATCCAATAATTACCTTACTGTTGGAAATGAATTACTTAGCGCATTTTTTAGTTTTGCACTTGGCAGCATCGTAAAGAGTAAGGTCAAGGAAACGGAAGTCGTCATTGTTCACCCAGATGATCGATATTTGTGTGGTAAACACATGGTGCGCATACCAAATTACTAATCCAGATGAGAAGCACTCGCTTTTAGATGTCAAATGGAGAGTAGTGCTTTTATACCTCTCAAAGAAAACAGGATCAACATCGGAACGTTGAGCACCTCATAGAAGCAAACTGATGAAAGGATGGGTTAGCGCAGATCTACGCCTTGTTTCAGGAAATCACTTCATCTTGCCAATTAAAAACAAAAGAGATGTACATACTGCAGTGTTTCCAAAATCGGGGGCGCAAGCATATCGAAAATTTAAAGATTAAAAAAATCGGAAAAAAGTAAAACAAAACACTTTCTTCCATAATAAAAAAATACACTTGAACACTGATATAATTTATGTTTATCATCTGGCGTTTTTCCGTCATCAAATAGCTATCTTTGATCTCAAAACCAAATTAAAGAAAAAAACATTTTGTTTAATTTGCTGTATTTCCTCAATGAGAGATTTTTTTTATTACGTTTGAACATAAAATATTACTCGCTAAAAGAAAAAACGAAACCCACACCTGAGAAAATTTCTAAGAAGAAACAATTCATCTCAGTAATTATTATTGAAATACTGCATATTAGTTGTAGAAAGAAAAGAAAGACATGATTCACTTTTCAGCCAGACAGCATAATACATTTACTGATCATTTGATTGACCTTCAAACTTACTGGTATGGTTAGTTTTACATTAGTTCCGTCCCATCTTTTATGTGTGTTTTTCGCTTAGGGAAATTGTTAATAATAAAGAGTTTTACGATATTTGGAAAAAAAGTGATTCATTTGAAGGATTATTTGGCGAAGATTTATATTTTTGAGTATTCTTAAACATATAAACCATAGTGAAAAACGTCATAATCCTTTTTAGAACATCCGTATTTTTTCTGAATATACTTTTAAACAGGGAGCGGTGGCGCGAGGCATCTGTGATCTCTATTGAAGGAAGTTGAAACTGATCAAGCAAAAGAAGAAACTGCTGAAACAATGCATATTATTCATGATTGAGAAACGCGATGAACAAGAAACGAAATGAAAATTTTCAAATGATTCCTACAGAACACCATCAACTAAAATAAGAAGCCATAAGTGTACCACAAGGCTGAGTTCGCCTTGTCAAAAAGACACAAGAAAGAAAAAATTCAACTTGCTATCTGTTGATCATCAAAGGTGTCACGATTTCGAGTCCAGTACCACTAAAGACCCGCCATGTGAGGGAGATCAAACGTCCTTTTGTTGGAGTGGTGTGGTAGTAAAAAGAGGCCAGCTCAAGTATCATCCTCGTCACTTGACCATGGTTCAAAATTACGAGGTTCGTCTCCAAAAGCTCTCGTGTAGCTGAACAGTGCGACATTAATATTCACTCACTCGATCATGAAAACTCATTAAAACTTCAATAACTTGAACAAAATATGACAGCTTTGCCAGCAAATAACGATTTTGTAATATTCGTGAAAAATGTCTCTGATTTGCGTTCTTTGCTATGGTCTTGCACTTTTGAATCATTTAATTCAGTTTTATTTCATTTTTTTCTCAAATCATCAAAGAAAAATTGAATACTCCTTGGAAGCCGGTAAGTATACTTTCTCTTAATTAAAATATTCATTGGAATTCCGATTTGTATCGTGTATAGTAAAAATAATTATAAACAAATGATTGGGGTGACTGAGTCCCCCCACTACCATTAGCGTTAGTATCGATTGCGCACCTGCTCCCGGGTTAAAACATTTTGAAGTCTTCTCGATTTAAATATTAAAAAGTAACACAATTATTCTACATCGGAATTTTATATTATTTTTCATTATTAAACATTACTTCTAAATACTAATTCTGTGAGGTTTAAAATTACAGTTCTGTTAAACAGAGTTATTTACAATTATAGCACTTATCTAAATAAATCATTTTACATTTTTATACAATGTCGTGCACGCAATTTTACACTCCTTACAGTTCAGCTATTATATCAAGAATAATGTTTCGTTTTTTTTTAAAAAATGAACTCGTGTGAAGAGCCGGTGTTTCAACCAGTATACGTTTAATGTATCATTACTGAAGAAGGTATTTTATAAATAATTTCTTAATACTATATTAAGAACAAGCTTAATAATTATTAATGACTTCCATGGGTTTGTCTTGTAGAGCAAAGTTTTTCAAAGGAAGGTTTATTATCAGAAATTGCACTGAGTTATTTTGTCTTCAAAGCAGCTACCGCAGAAAATCCGGTTTGAGAAAGGTAAGATTTTGAAAATGGTAATAGTATACGAAGTGCTTTTGTTCTCAGTGCAGAAAATTCATCATTCACCTCTACCCAAAATTCAAAGAGCGATTTATTACAAAATTGCTTTTAATTTTTCACTGGATGGGAAATCTATGAAGATTTCTTCTTCGGAAGTTGAGAGCCCTTTTGGAGTACCTTGAAATTGATCCCTAATCCACTCGTGACTTGCTACCAAGCTGTCCTCATCAAAAAAATACTTTTTAAAATTCTTTGCCAACATGGCTAAATGATTTTACATGGTTTTAAAAACAACTTTCACATGTTGTTCTTCAGATTTGTAAGTTTTAACACATAACGAGCTGGGACATTTCTTCCCATCATTTACTTCAGTAGTGGTAAATCCAAAATTTAAGTATTTTTGAGAATACTTCCTTGATTTAATTTTCGGAACCATGATCCTCTGTGTACTTGTTGATCCTTTATTATCGTCGAATGTTTGTTTACGACTTAAAAATGTAGTATGATTTTGTTTTAATCTACTGCCGTAAATACTTAATTACCATGAATTACAATTAACGTGCAAAATAAAAAAAATGTACATTCAAGCTTCATTCGGTAGCTGTTGAAGTATCGATTCGATCAAAACTGACTGGAATTTTACGAGGAAAAGCATTTTTACATGTTTTGCGTAGACGTCCGATAGGTTGCCCAGACTGACGCAAACGTACCCGATAATGCCAGATGTGATGGATGTGATAGAGAGCAACATAGAACTAGACTATTTTTCTAATGACATTTGTACTTTGAGAAATGTGGAAGCTGAAGGAAATAAATCTTTAATTAAATATATCATTTTGTTATCTGTTCCAATTTAAAAATTAAAGAAAGAAAAATAACATAATAATAAGTAAGTAATATATATTTTATAAAAAATTAATTATAATATATATTACTTATCAGTAGCATATACAAAATTTAATACTTATACAGTTTATAATTGAAATCGCATTGTAACATTAGCTTCAAAGTGCATTTTTAATGCAAAAAATACAGTATTGTTGTACAGTTGGGGAGTGGGGGCGACATAAATTATGATTGAAAATTGGGTCGCCAGTATTGTAAGTTTGCGAAACACTGGCTTAAACTCTATACTAGAAGGCTTTATCATCATTAAATAGGATTATGCTCTTTAAGGAACTACGTTCGGAACCGTGATTTTTCAAAAGCGTGTAAATGGATAATATTTATCATATTTAGTGTCATTTACACTAGAAAATGTAAATAAAATTGTTTTAAGAAGTGTATTAAAATAAAAAAAATGATTTAAGTACAATATTTTGACACAAAATGAACATAGAATGATCTATTTTCAAAATGCTCTCCTTTTGAGAAAAATTCTACTATTATAATAATATTTTGCATGTTCTAGTTGAGCCTCTGTACAGATGTCTGAGCTATATACAGTGCATATAGCTCAGACATCTGTACAGAGGCTCAACTAGAATTTTTGAAATATATAACTTAGAAGTGGGTTTATCCACATGTTTCGCGACAACAGAGGGGAGAAATTTGAAGAAAAAAACGCCGATAATTATTTCAATGGGTTGTAACTTTAAAAATAATGTGAATTTTTCAAAAATCATGTTGAGCTTCTGAACGGAGGTTTAAGCTATATACAGGCAAAATATTATTATAATAGAAGCATTTTTCAGAAAATGAGAACATTTTGAAGAAAAGTTATTCTAAGTTAATTTTTTGCCAAAATATTTTATTTCAATAATTTTGTTTTCACAAAATGTCCTTAAAACAATTTTATACATGTATTCTAATCTAAGTGATACTAAATATCATGCAAATTATCCATTTATGCGCTTTTTTAAAATCACGGTTCCGAACGTAGTCGGATACCTTAAATGCAGTCACCATGTCTCCCTCCATTTTCAAAAAGAGACAGTCCTTTTTGAATGTTTGATGACTGTGTCTCGAATTGATTGTGTGTAGTAAAGATTTTGATTTAATAAATTTAATTGTGTTTTAACATGCCTTTGAATAAAACACAGTTATACACCAAAAATGAATATAAAACGATTTCCACGGAAAGTCACATAAACACGAGAGAAAAAAATTACCACAGTATGTAAAATAAAAGCAATTTAATGTTCCTTGTGCAGCCCGGTACTATTTGATCCACTGATCGGTACCAGTCCGTGGCCCAGGAGTTGGGGACCATTGCTCTAAAGGGTGAATGATTATAAATTCCATACATTTTATAGGGTAAGGGCAGGGCATATTTACATTTTTTACGCAATGCTTCAATGGTCCAGATAATTGATATAATTTTTTTAAACTTAAAAATTATATAAAGTATAATTATAAACTAATTAAAAATGCTTTACTTTATAATAACAGTTTTTTTATAATAACTACTTCTGAATGTATTTCCACCTCACTAATTTATTTAAAAAAAAGAATCAACTTCCTTCGAGCCGGAGTCGGACCAGTGACCTATGGATATCAGCTCAGAAACCACCTACAGTGCACCGCTGTGCCAACTGAGCTATCGACGGCTGTCCAATTTTCTATAAGAAAAGCTCAAGCCAATTGAATATTGGGGTCATTCGATTAAATTTATTTTAAAAAAAGTATTTGATGTGTGCCCATATTAATTTCTGGGAATGTTTATGCAAATTACAGCACCAGTGAAAGTTCTTATATCATACTTAAACTCCGTGTCGTAACGTACACCCCGGCAACTCCTGTATTGCGGGGGGGGCGCAGAAATTCTAGGAGGCCCAAACCTTGACTGACGACAATTATGTATTTGGGCTTGGGACCCAAAACGACTTATAAAAAATACTATTTCTCCCTTAATGCAAGTGTCCGCGGTAACCAAGTGGTTGTGGGGGCACAAACCCGTGACCGGAGGGTCCCACGTTCGAGTCCTGCAGCCACTGAAGACCCTCGCGTAGAGGAGACCCATGAACGTCCAATTTGTCGAGATTCAAAGTCCTCCCGTTGCTATGGTGTGATAACTAGGAGAGACAAGTACCAGCTCAGGTGTCATCCTCGTCTCTTGACCGAGGTCTGTCGGAAAATGCCCTCGTGTTGCTTTATAGAGCAATGTTAATACAACTCTTACTATAAAAGGAGTCCTCCCGTTGGTGTGGTAGTTAGGAGAAGGGGGTGCCAGCTCATGTGTCAACCATGGCTGAAAATTACGAGGTCCGTCGCCAAAAGCCCTCGTGTAGCCCTTAGTGCGACGTTAATATTGTGGCCGCGGTAGCCGAGTGGTATAGGCATCGAATCGTGGCTGGCTTTGTCACGAGTTCGAGCCCAGTACCACTAAAGACCCGCCGTGTAGGGCAGCGATGCACGCTAAATCTGTCGAGAGCTGAAACGTCCTCCCGTTGGTGTGGTGTGGTAGTTAGGAGAGGGGTGCCAGCTCAGGTGTCGTCCACGTCACTTGACCATGGTTCAAAATTACGTGGTCCGTCGCCAAAAGCCCTCGTGTAGCTGAACAGTGCGACGTTAATCTTCACTCACTCACTCACGCGACGTTAATATTCATTCACTCACTTGACAAAAAGGGAAAAAAGAAGACTCTACTTCTTAATTTATTTTCTTTAAAAAAAGCAACTTCCGTCGAGCCGGAGTCGAACCAGCGACCTATGGATATCAGCTTTGAAATCACCTACAGTCCACCGCTCTGCCAACTGAGCTATCGACGGCTGTAAAACCTGTTGTAAACAAACTTCATGCAGAACGAATATTGGGGTCATTCGATTCAGACGAGTTGAAAAAAACTCCAGTTGATGTTTGTATTAATTTCTATGGTTACAAAATTCTAGCTCTACTGAACGTGCTTATATCGCATCTAAATTACAAATGGTATCAATTCCCTATTAATTGAAAGAATTTTAATGATATTTGATGTATAAATTATGCATAAGTATTTGTGTTTTTAGTTTGTAATCTTCCATGATTATTTTTTTTTATTTACCAGAAACTAAATCTTTAATTCAAATTACCCCCCTTTAGTTTCATTGGGGTCAAATCCCTCATGGGTTGATTGATTGATTGAATATTAACGTCGCACTGTTCAACTACACGAGGCTTTTGGTGACAGACCACGTAATTTTGAACCATAGTTAAGTGACGGTCCCTCATTGGACTTAACCCCTGCGAAACTAAAAAGAGAAATCTTTCACATTTTTTTTTGTGTTTGTGCTGCAGGATAGTTTAAGAATCAATTTTAACTCTTGCCATCTGACCTTGATTCTAAATGACACCTGTTTGCAATATCCTATTTTACAGCTCTAGAGCTTTGTTAATATAAATTGAAATTAAAGTGAATTCGCATTCAAAAAATAAAAATTGAAAGGAATTTATGTAATATTTGTGTCCGAAGAGAGAGAGAGAGAGAGAGTTTTACAGTTTTTTTTATATCAACAAATTAAAATCAGAAAAAAATATTGTTCAATAAATACAAAGGTTGTTAAGAAAAATTCTTAAAAATGATTTTTTAAACATGTACATATTAAGGGAAAGAAATTCTTGGAAAAATTACTTATTTGATAGTAGAATTAATCTCATCTGACATCTTCGAATTTTAACTTCTTTGAAAATGGCGAATGTAAGCGAACTATGTATCGAAGAACACATTCTTGAACATTTCGAGAAGAATATTCTTATTCTTTAATTAAAAAAAACATTGTAACGCATTTGGTATAAAAATTTCTGATGTAAAATGAACGATATATTCTTAATCAAAAGGGGAAAAAAGTTATCAACTGTTGTTTCCCCAGTAACACAAAATTCTAAATAAAAGAAACCTAAAACATATGCATAGTTTGTGTTAAGAATATTTTTTTAAGCGAAGTCTCGCAACAATGCATCGATGCAGATATCGATTGTAAACATTTGTAGCAGTATTAAACAAAGTATTAAAGCTGTGATTTATAGTTTGAAAGGGTAAAAAACATGATGTTTCCAGTCCTTTGCTGAGGCATGTGGCTCAATGCAAGTCGTTGTAGAGCAGCGTTTCTCAAACTGTGTGGCGCACTCCCTTGGGGGACGTGATAATTCTACGCGGGGGCGCGAGCATATTGAAAAGTCGAAAACAAAAGATTACTAATTTACTAAAAGTAAGTAAAAAACATTCTGACGTAATAAACAGTAGAATACACATTTACACTGATATAATACACTTACGCACTATGTATTTTTTATAATTAATTTAACAATACTAAGTTAAGGTAAGTTTATAATTACCAGTGACCCCATGGGCTTGTCATATATAAAATTAGATGCAAAAATTAACAGTTATCTTAATAATTTGTAATGTATATAATTAATCCCTTAACCGCTGGTTAAAAATTACGCAATGCGCTCTCCAATGAGACCGTTTTCCAATAAGGAGTGCGTTTGTAATGTATTGGAGGGGTAGGGAAGATAAAGAAAATAAACAAGCAAATCCTTCGCAAACACTGCTTTTATTGCATTCCAAAGCCTTCGGAATGATTTTATGGATAGCAATGCACAGAGAAGATCGTACCTTTCGACAGACGTATATATACGTACGGGGAAAATATAGTTTTAGTTGAGCGGGAAATTTATATGTGCTGGTGGAACTTGAGAGGTTTAAATCCTATTGCAGATTTAGTATCAAAGTATCGTATTATTGAATTCAATACATTGTTATTGTATGGAGGGGGGCGTGATGAAAATTATGATTCAATATTGGGTCACAAGTATTGAAAGTTTGAGAACCATTGACATACTGTAAGAAAAAAACGACGAAAGTGTGTGATAGGTGAAATGTTGGTGTCCATGACAAGTGTTTTGTTTCGTTCTGTGACAGGGCTTTACAGAGGTCGTTCTACTAATCCTCTTGGGGAATCTTTCGGACCCTCAGTTTAGTTATTTCACAGCCACCCCTCTCAAGAAGAAACCTTGATATGCATATTAGTTAGTAGATATATAGTGGAGGTTCAGTCACTGAAAAGAGAGAAGGAGGAAATGAAGCTGAGTTGCTGAACGCTATGCGGTTACGGTAAGGATTTGAACTTAGACGCGTAATTATAGAACGGGATTTAGCTATTCAAATAAATTAAGCAAGTTAGGATTCATATAATAAGTTACTATTATACTTTATGATAGGCGGTTAGGACTTCAGGTGCTTATTCATATAAGATTTTGAGCTACCATATATTTCACTCTTGATTTTCTCTCTATAGTAAGATTGTCTTTGATTATTGTATTGGATAATAATAAATTGGATTTCTTATGTCTAGCTTGGGTCATCAGTCTTTACCCCCTACATATTTAGGTCGAGTAGATGAAGTGATGGCTTCCCCAAGTGGGAGACTATCACAGTTCTGCACACCATAGAAACACAAAAACATCACAAACTCTAAGTAATTTTGTCTCTCATGGTGTTTATTACAGTTTCTTGTATAGAAACTTGAAAATAGTTTTCCCTTCATATCTTATTCATGTTATCATATTAATGTATTTTGCTTTTGAACAAATTAAAGAATAGAGCTTTGGCATAGAATGGGTTAAGCAACAGAATTCGATCTGGTATCTGACTATCCTAAATTATACATCCTCCAACGGGGAAACTTAGAGCTCCGACAGGTTTTATGAGCATCAGACTCTCTGTATGTATACCCTTAAGGGGAATAGGAACTTGAACGCATGGCTTGTTTACCTGGACCAGGACTAAAAAAATTCAATTAAATTAAAAAGTTCCTGAAACTTTCCAATGTATTTTAAACTGCCATTCAACAAATCAATTATATGGAATAGATCACTTGCATTTTATCTTGCTGTAAAAAACTTTAACTTAAAAAAACTGAATATTATGAATAGATAATTAGAGATAATGAATAATTAGAATTAATAATTAGAGATAATGAATAATTAGAATGAATAATTAGAGAGATATATACTGATATAGTCAAAAAATACTTCAATGATAGATATTTTTTTTTACTTTCAGAATAAATCCTATTCAAGCACAGTACTAAATGTTTTAAATAGTTAGTAATCAATTTAAGAAAAACGCTACAATTTTGAACAGTGCAAAACTCCATAGCTGTAGTACATACAAAACTTAACGAAAAATTCATTAAAGCGTCCAATTACAAGTATGAAACACTAAGTAATACAAAATCATATAAAAAAGGGGATGTAGTACATTAAAAATAACAGATTTTATCTCACTGCATTAGAGAAACAAATAACATGTATTTTTACACGTATTGTATAGACTTACAAATTCAATGAAATTATAACTTAACAGATTCGTGTAAGAGATATAGATTTATAAAAGTGTGTTGCGCATTTATACAAATAAGAACATACCCTGTTTTTGTCTTTTACCGAAAAAAGCGAAAATAATGGTTTTATTATATTAATGCAGAAGATAAGTATTTCAGGCAAAACAAATGCTCTGAGTTAGGTGCAGAAAAGCACAAACTACAACACAGAATCAAAATCATTTTTTGTTCCGAGTGTTCATACTGTAAATGGAGCAACACATAAAAATGGATGGTTTTCATAA